CCTTACCACGTCAACACAGTCTTGGAGGCAAAAACCTTTGCTAGGCCCAGGTGGCTTGCCTTGATTTTTCACTAACCTACTTTACTCCAGGTTCTTAAACACATTTACCTCCCTTCCGACCCCCGACCTTAGGTAGGAGCTTAGTGGGGAACAGGGCTGTAGACCGACCTCTTTTATCTACTTTTTGCTGATTAGGGTGACTGAAGAAAGCAGCTAAGACCATGAGGTAGGGCGGGGGAGAGGCTAGCTCTGGGGAGTGGAGCTGGCAAGCCATGATGGGAAGACTGCTGGACTCAGCAGCAGGGCTGGGCCATGTGGGTACTTCTATACCCCAAGAAGACCTGAGACCCTTTTATACTTGGGGACTTCTGTCTGACTTGGGATCTCACAAGCCTGAAGGTACCAGTGGCAGCTTTGTGGCTCCTCTGACACATTATGTCCTAACATGTGTGACCAGGACCTGCTCCCTGAAGCCAGGAGACCATCTGAGAATGATGGCTGTTTATATTCCATTTCTGTATCCTTGGGGGATTTGGCACAGGTCTTGATCCATGGAACATGCCTATAAAGTATGGTTCAGTCAATAAATGAAGGTCTCCAGTTGTGTAGGTATTTGCAGTATCTTTTAAGTTAGTGGGCAAGGTGGGAGCCTGGAGCACTATGGAAAGTTCCCTTCCATCTACGAACAAACAGATATCCCGGGTGAAATACAACACATGAAAGGAAGGAAGAGGTCTCCGATCCATGTGAGGAGCGGGAGATGCTCACAAGGGCGGGAAACAAAAGACGACCTGCCATGTCTGCATAGGTCAGAGTTCAAATGACACGAGAGGCTCCCGCACGAGTCAGAGTTCAAGCAACACAAGACGATGAAAACCCTACTCCCAGGCCTGGGCTCTTTATCCTGAGTGTGAGGATTAATCTCTTCCAAGAATAAAGTGGGAAACTGAATTCTAAAAAAATAACTTTAAAGTGGTTCAGATAGAACCAGGCTGTGGTGAAGACGGGGCAGAGAACATCAAAACCCTGCTTCTATAGGGGACTCTCAAGGGCCACAGCTTTGCCACTGATAGACTTGCAGCAAAAGGTTGTACAGTGTGCCCGGAACTCATCATTTCAGAGACAGCAGATGTAAAACACTTGTGGAAACTTAGACACTTTGGCAATCCAAAAAGTAAACATGTCAGAGTCTGTGGAAGAATGGTCCTGGACCTCCCATAGGCACCACAGTTCTTGGATGCTCAACCTCTTCTGTACATTGGCATTGCATTTGCACAGAACCTTCGTACACCATATACATTAAACCATCCCTTAAGAGCTCAGAACACATAGCATGACGTTAGTGCTGTGTGCATGGCTGTGACACTACGTTGTATAGAAACAGTAACTCTACAGAAATATGTTCCCATAGACACAGCCTTTCCTGAGCACCGTTGGTCCTCCACTGATAGGAGATGGCCTTGATTAGCAGAAGACAGACTCTGTCTAAAAATTAGAGAAGACTGGATGGAGCCTACAACGCAGGACAGAGCAGGATGAAAAAGAAAGCTGGATCTGAAAAAGAAGTAAATGGAAGTCCTAGGGATGGGAAGTCGGCCTGTCACTGAAGAGAAATGGCAGAGTCTGGTTTACAGACGGGACCCTTAGTCACAGGGTTCCAGCCTCAGAGGTCCTTCATCGGCATCAGAGTGGAACGTTCTTTGAAAACTAGAAGAGGAAGTCCGTTTGTTCCAGATGGCTTCATGCTGCCCCAGGACAAACTCTCAGAGCTCTTGGACAGTGTTAGCATGCTGCCACCTAGGAGGGCAGGGAAGGCTTAGGCTTCGAGTGTACCTCTTTCTCCCATTTGTCCCTTCTGGGTGCAGACCCCAGTCTAGCACAGAGGAGGGAAGGTCTTAACCCGCAGGGACATCCTGGTGCCTGACAATGCACAAGCAGAGGTGTGTATAGCTCGTGTCTCTCTACTGTAGTTTGGATAGGAAATGCCCCCTCCCCCCAATGAGCTCATCTATTGGGGTATGAACTGCTAGGTGATCGGCTTTGGGAAGATGGCAGGATCTTGAGAGCTCTGACATAATCAATATATTCAAAACAATCAGTATAATCACAATGGGTTCATAATATGTTGGCATTATTGAGAGGTGGTGAAAGAGATGTGGTGGAGCCTGGTTTGTGGAAAAAGGGCACCAGAGCGTGTTCCTGTGGCCTGTAGCTGACCCTGGTTCCTTTAAACTCCTTTCTCTGCTCCTGGGCGGACATGAGGTAAGTAGCTGTTGCTATACGCTGCTGTTGCCCAGAATCAGTGGACGTGAGGGCTATGACAGAAACATCCCAAACCATGATCCAAAAGAAACCTTTCCACAGAGTGCCAGTACACAGCCTCCAGATGGTAAAACGCCCTGTGGATGTTTGGTGGGGGGTGAGCAGTGGGCCAACCCAAGAGGATGTGATGTTATTGGAGCCAATTAAGTGTGTGGCATTGGGCTGTGTAGGTGGGGGGTGGGGGTCCATCCTGCCTGCTCATGTACTAGGTCCAGCTAGAAGATCGATGCCTGGCTTTTTCGTCTGGATACAATTAGAATGACTTCAGGTTGGCCTTTGAGCTCTCATGCACTGACATTGAAAGGGTGCTTGCCATCAGATGGTGCTTAGCATCTATGAGTATTCTGCTTTCTCCCCCTTCCCTTTCTTCAAAGACTAAAAACTTTGGCATCAGTCAGCCCATAGCCTGCTAGCTTTGGCTACAGAAGATGAGCAGAGAAGGACTGCCTCCTGAGCCATTCAGTCATCTAGTCATCGCATGACCTTAATGTGGTGTCATTCACTCCCTGGCACTTGGTTTTCTCACTCCAGGCTCTAGGTTGCCTTTCTTATTCCCTCCATCTTTATTCCTCACAGTGTTTCTTCTGAGGCCTCTACAACAGCTCCTTCATCTTCCTTAAGAATGAAGTTCTGGCTGGGCATGGTAGTGCACGCCTGTAATCCCAGCACTCAGGGAGGCAGAGGCAGGTGGATCTCTGTGAGTTCGAGGCCAGCCTGGTCTACAGAGCAAGTCCAGGACAGCCAAGGCTACACAGAGAACCCCCGTCTCAGAAAACAAAAAAACAAGAAAGAATGGAACTCTGATTGTATTTGGGGCTCACCAGCAGCATCAGACACCATCGTGGGTGGCTCGGAAAATGACACAGTTCTTGCCAGTGAAATCCAAGTTCAGGTTCTGAATACAAGGGCACAGGCTCCCTGGGAGGGCATGTCCTCTTTCCTGTGTGGTCAGTGCTTGAGCTTGATTATAGGCGCTGCAGCCATCTCGTGATCAGTGAACACCAGCAACAACAAACAGAGCAGAAAGGAGAAAAGCGGCTTCGGGGAAGGCAGACCCTACTTTTCTACTTTCTGGCTGCCTCACATTCTCCTTTCTCACAGCCTCGCAATCCTTCTGTAAAATGAGGGTTGAGACCTCCATCTTGTACCACAGTTTTGAGGTCCAAGCTCTGTGACGGATAGGAACTTACTGTCTCTACTGTCAAGCTCTTTCCTAGTGTTGTGGTTGTCCTAATGCTTAAATAAGGAATTGTAACTTTAAGGCAAAATGAAGAAGACCATTTGTTTCTCCTCATGGACCTGGACCTTAGGTCAACCAGCTCTGATCTGTAGCCCATCAGCTATGCAAACAGGAAGCAACTATGCAAACATTTGGAGCTGCAGGAGGCTGGCCAGGGCCAGCGTCTCCCAGCTGTGAGTGCCTCAGAAGTCAAGGATGAGGTCCTTGCTCTGAGGACATAAGTTCAAAGCCACCCACTTTTGGATGTCCTCCCCTGGACTCTGTCAGATCACCCTCTCTCAAGGGAGAACTGTCCCTGATGGCTCCTCTAAGCTGTCCCTTGTTCTTTGTCCCTCCTCTCTGCCCCATCACAGCTGGGACTGGGGTATTTTTTTTTTTTTTTCTGTATGAAATGTAATCTTCTTGGGTTTTCCTGGCTTGAAATGTTTCCACAGTTTCATGCTCTCCAAGGAATAGATAAAGGTTATGCTACCTTCCAGGCTCTCGACGTCTGGCTTTCCCCTTGCTTCCCAGCTAGGCTGACTTCCGTTTAGTTTCTGGAATGTTCTATGGTGGTCCTGCGGGCTTTGCCCATATTGTTCCCATTTCCTCAGCTTTCAGCTCCCACTTGTGGGGCAGGCAACAGGCTAAGTCTGCAGCAGGAACACAACCACCCCAGCTCTAGCATTTCTCCCGCCTGCTGCCTCACATCTGTTCCTATGCTTCCTGATGGCAGCCCAGGACAGGGATTTTGGTCTGTTCTGTTCACAGTCACACCCCTCACTAGGCTGACAGTGGCCCAGGGAAGATCTCGGCTGCTGTGCAGGTCAGGGGGGCAGGGCCAATCTGCCATGTGAAAAAATGAGCATCCGGCACAGCCAGGCAGAGCCTCCCAGCCGGTCTGCTCTGCAAAGACTCCAGCTGCTCCGCCCAAGAGCAGCAGGCTGGAGGAAGGCTGGTGACCTGTCCAAGCCACACATGTCAGCCTTGCTAGAATCGGTGCCTGGTCCCCAGTCTAGCTTCCTGCCCGGTCCAGCTAGCACAAAAGGCCACTCTAAATCTGTCTCCTCATCTGAAGAATGGGACCCTCTTCAGTGGGCTGCCGTAAGGATTAACTGAAGCAAGCCCATAGGGTGCTTTTGCTCAGGGCCTGAACACAGTGTGCAGTCAGTGCCAATCGGGATCAAATCGAAGAGCTAAGAATGAATATCACTGCTTGCGATCCACGAGTAGCAAGCAAAAGGATTCCATAGATGAACAGGAGGTGAAGGGATGGATGGAGAGCTGGATGATCCGATGGACGGTAATGGAGTCCACAACGACTTAAGAAATGGAAGGACCATACGTATGAATGGCTGAAGACAGGACAGAACACTAGAGAGCGCAGTAGGGTTGCACGTCTAGATTTGGAGAACAGGACCAGCCCCGTCCGTTCCTAGCAGGTTACCGCTCGGCTCACCTGTACCGCCTAAGCTCCGCCTCCAGTCGCTGCACTTGGCGCTGTAAGCGGGGAAGGCGCCGCGCCAGCGCCTCCAGCTCCCGCACGCGGTGCAGGCTGCGCAGCACCGCCTGCCGGGCCTCCTCCGTGCGCAGCCGCACCTCCACCTGGCCGCGCTGCAGCCGCCGGGCGCGCGCCTCCGCCTCCGCCAGCGCGCCCTGCGCTCGCTGCAGCTCGTGCGCCGCGGCTTCCGGGACGTCCGCCTGGCTCTTCCAGAGGCCGACCTGTCCGCGGGAAGCCGGAATGAGTGCCCACCGCAGGAGCCCACGGGGACGTCCCCTCACACCACAAAGTTTGCTCACTGAACAGCTGGCGTGGGGGGGTAACGCACGTGGGGGCAATAGTACCCCCCCCCCCCCCCACCAACACGAGGGAAGCTGGGACGGGAAATCACAGTACTGTTGACAGTAATCCCCCAAAGTCGTTACTTCTAGGCCTAACTTCTGCATCCAGTGGACGCTGCTCCTTATTCTCTGGACTCAAGGCCCAGCATAAATACCCGGCTGAGGTTTCCGCCCTTCCTGAGATCTCTGCACTAGACTGTCTTTGGAAACGGGGGTGGTCTGTCTTGTTCACCGGGAAGCTGGCACATGTGCCCAGTAGACACTTGAGCGCGAAAGAAAGATGGAGAGACCCTTTTAGCTAGTCTCAGACACCCCACGCTTCACTTCTCCCCACGCTGCGCACTTCAGGGGTTCCCTCTGCCCCGCCTAAGGCTCCCCTGCCACACAGAGGAACCATGCAGGCCACCCTGGCACCTAATTGTACTCTGCAGCGTGTAGGCAGGGGACATCGCCGGTTTCTTCTGGTCCTCTTCCCACAAGGGCCCTTCTCTCCTGTGGTTGGCCACCTGCGCTGCCCTCAGCACCAAGCCGGCCGTTCACAGGGCCCAAGTGTTTGCTGACTGATCCCGGAGGCCAGGCTGAACCTGCAGTTCACTTAATGGCTCCACCTCAATAGCTCAGAGCGGGCCTGGCCCTCAGCCTTAGCCATCCTGTCTTTTTCACTTGGGCTCGAGGCCTGGAACTGGGGGATCCCACAGGTTTCCCTGACTTGGGGAAGGGCGGGTCCTCTTGTTTCCCCTAAACCTCCCCGAGGAAGGGTGCTTGCTGACCCATCGGTGAGCGACTGCCTGCACAGGCTCTTTCGTGAGTTAGAAGGGACTGGGGTGGGAAGTTGGGGTCTTAAGGAACGATAATTGGGGTGGGAGCTGGAAAGAGGGGAGTGCAGTGGGGAACGGAGAGGGCCAGCTGAGGGGCGAGTGGGCCGAGGTGGAGCGCCCAGGTCTCCACCCCCGACGCCCCGCGCACCTGAAGAGCCAGGCAGCGCGCGTCGCTGCTCTGCAGCGCAGCCCTTAGGTCCTCCACCAGCTCGCGCAGGCTACTGTTCTCCTCCTCCAGATGCGCCGCGTGCTCGCCATGGGCGCCACCGCGCAGGCTCGGTGAGCCAGGCCGGCGGCGGCGGCGGCGCGGGCGGCGGAGGCGGATCTGGGTCTCGATGTGCTCGCTGAGAGCTCCGCGGGGCAGCCGGGGTCCCGCTCGGGTGCTGAAGTAGCCGCAGAGGCGGGCGTGGAACTGGCGGAAGGTGAGCTCGGGAGGGTCGGCGCGCAGGGCCAGGCGCGCCTCTTCCCTGGCGTCCGCCTCTCCCCCGGCGCCCGTCGCGGCAGCCGGGTCCTCGGCGGCCGCCTCCGCCGAGCCTGCGCCCTCGGCGGCCGCCTCCCCGTCAGCGTTGAGCCCCAGGACGGCGCAGAGCGCGCGGAAGTCGGCGCGCGGCAAGCGGCCCGCCCCGCGGCAGTCCAGGTGATGGAAGACCTCCTGCAGATACTGATCCAGACCCGTGGCCAGCACCACGATCTCGTTCTCCACGCCGCGGTCCAGCCCGTAGTGGTGAGCCAAGGCGCTCAGCAGCCACTGCGTGCGCCGCGCGGGCCTCCGGTACGGGTCTCCCGCCGCGCCCTCCATGCCCGGACCCCGGCGGCTCCTCTCGTCCCAGAGGCGCTTTCGGACGGCCGTCCGCGTCCGCGGAGGGAGGGGCTGGGCGGCCACCGCCGGGGCCGGAGAGGCGCGGGACCGCGTCCAGGCAGGCTGCGCGGGCCGTGCAGGGCGTCTGGGTTTGCCCCGGTGGGGGGCGCTGGAGCTGCGTGCTCCCTCCCTGGGGCTGTAGGCCTTGCCCCACGCTCCCCATCACTCCCCATCAGTCGCTGGCTCAGTTTTTTTGCCCTCTCTAGGCCTTCCCGCGGCTGTCGCCAGGGGCGGGAGCACTTGAGTCTGCAGTTGTGTTCTCTCATACTCACAGGCCCTTGCTCCAGCAAACTGCCTTGTGTCTTCTGCCCAGGAGCTGAGAAGCCTCCTCTGCAGACTGCTTCCTGAACTCCACCTCCCCTTTCCTAACCAAGAGAGAGGAGGAAACCAACTCGGAAGTGGGTGCAGTCAGCTTTGGTGAGGGGACCATGGCTGTCTACCGTAGCCCCTTTGGGGCTCCTGGTGCTGCTGACTTGGCGCTAGAGCTGAGTTTCTTCCTCAGTCTGTCATGGGGTGAACGGGGTTGTTTGGCCACCATTTTCTCTGGGCCCTAGAACTTGACTCTGGAAGATGAGCGACAGACCTGCGTCCTCTTGAGTGCTAATTGGCTTTTCCTTTCTCTTTCACAGAGAGCCTGCGCGGAGAGATGTGTTGGCACCTGCCGTGGGAACCTCTACCCAGCCATATTGGAGCAAAAGGCAAACTCAGCTGCCCTTGGATAGTAAATAGGCGGACCTTAGGGCACAGCTCTGATTTTAAAGGTTAAATCCCAGTTGAAAAGCGTTATCATCTTGTTTCCGACATTATAGCACCCCAGACCAGGACTTTGTCTTTTTTTTCCAACAAAATTCTTAAGCATTTTGTCTAAGGCATAACTTTAACTGGAATCAGAGATCCAAAGCATTTTGGACATATATACACCTATATATAATAGTTGTATGTTATATAAATATTATAGCTACTAAAAGCAATGGCAGTTTAGCAGAGTAAATATGCAACAATTCCACTTCTCAGCTTTGGCCTGGAACAACCCACACATGCAGCAGCACGTTCATTCACCACATCATTGATTATAACGGCTAGAAGCTGATACCAGCAGGGGTCCAGCTAGGACAGATCGCCAAACAGGAAGAGGGAGGACTGTGACTGTTAATACTCACGTGACAATAACAACACTGCACAAAATATTGCTAGATGTTTTTTACAAGATGTATATAAGGAACTACAGCTACAAAATAGATCTGGTTTCTACTTTTGGTGACTGTGAGCCTTTTGTTTTTGGTGCCCTGGCTCTTGCTTAAGTGGGAGATTGCATTATAATCACTCCATTTGCATGTATGCCGGCATACAGAAGAGAGCATCAGACAGAAGAGGGCATCAGATCCCGTTATAGATGGTTGTGAGCCACCATGTGGTTGCTGAGAATTGAACTCAGGACCTCTAGAGGATCAGCCAGTGCTCTTAACCCCTGAGCCATCTCTCTAGCCCTAGGAGATTACATTTCAGGTGCAGTGCACAGGCCTGTAATCCCAGCACTCTGGGACTCAGAGGCAGGTGGATCACTGTGAGTTCAAGGCCAGCCTGGTCTACAAAGTGAGTCTAGGACAGCCTAGGCTATACAGAGAAACCCTGTCTCAAAGAAACCAACTGGCCAAACAAACAAAAAAAGATGTACACAACAGATTTTAGTATGCTACAGTTGTCTAACAGAAACTACAATCTAGTACTTCGTTCCGCCCCTCCCACCCCAAGTAAAGCGGGTACTACTCACTCTTATCCTTCTACTACTGGCAGCTACTGAATCCATCCTTGGCCAATTCTAGACATCCATATAAATGGAATCACACAGGAGGTGACCACCTGGGGCTGCAGACAGGGCTCTTTGGTTAAGAGCATTGGCTGCTCACCCAGAGGACCTGGGTTCAATTCTCAGCACCCACAAGGCAGCTCACAACCATCTGTAACTTCAGTCCCAGAGACTCCTGTGCCCTCTTCTGACCTCTTTGCATGCACATGGCACACAGACACAAACAAGCAGAATACCATACACTTAGATTAAGAAAGGGGGTCTTCTTTCACTGGATCCTTCCTTCCTTCCTTCCTTCCTCCTTCCTTCCTTCCTTCCTTCCTTCCTTCCTTCCTTCCTTCCTTCCTTCCTTCCTTCCTTCCTTCCTTCCTTTTTGTATTTTCCTAGATCATCCTTATGTGATTTTTTTTTTTGTTTGTTTTTTGTTTTTGGAAAAAAAAAGTGTAGGTAAAAGCAAAACCACTTTTTCTATTAAAACAAGTGCAGTTAATACTGAATAGAACATAAAATTTACATTACTTTTTGGGACAAAGTACTTTTGACATCATAGACATTTCTAGCTTCAGGTTGTGTCCCTAGCCCCAAGTGGGAGAAAACCCTGCATGCTCACCTACCTAACATCATGGTCTCGGCCTCGTTGATAGAAGCCAAAAGCAGCAGAGTCAGTGCTTACTCCTTTGGCAAAGCACAAGCAAATTACTTAAACAAGCAACACCCTAGGCTTTCTCAGCTTTTTTTTTAAATTAACCTATCGATTTTTTGTGAATTTCATGTCACACATCCCAATCCCCCTCACCTCCCTATGTCTTCATATCTGCAACTCTCCCCCCACCAAAAAAAAAAAAGAAAAATAGAAATAATAATAAAAACAACAAAGAACCACATCTCCTGGAAGCTGCGGTGTGTCACAGCTGTGTACCAGCTTTTTAAGGAAACATATTCATGTGTTTATTTGTGTTGTAACACGTCCTGGCACTCAGTTTAGTTCTGAGTGATACTTCATTGCACGGATAGACCACATTTGCGTTGTTCATCCATCAGTTAATGAGTGTTAGGGTTTGACTATTGTGCATGACCCTGCTATGGCTTTTTTTTTTTTTTTTTTTTTTTTTTTTTTTTTTTTTTGACAAAGCTGGAATTGTCTAGGAAGAGGAAATGTCACCTGAGGAATTGTCTCTGTCAGGTTGGACTGTGGACACATCTGTGGGCGTTGATTAATGATTGATATGGGAGGGTCCATCCCCCTGCCCGTGGTGCCGCCCTGGGGCAGCTGGTCCTCGGTTGTATAAGAAAGCTGGGTAGAGAGAGCAAGCCAGCGAGTGTGGCTTCTCCATGGCCCCTGCTTCCGTTCTTGCTGTAAGTGTGCCTCCCTCAGCGATGCAGTGAATCTGGGAGGCAAATAGGCCTTTTCTTCCCCAAGTTGCTTTTGGTCATATTATTTATCCCAGCAATAGGAACAATCTGGGACAGATGGGTCCTGTGGTGGTTTGGCATCTTCTTGGGGAACGCCGCCTCCCTTTCACTAAGTGGCCTCCCCGTTTTCGCTGACACTGACAGTGGACCCCATGTGTTTTCCGTTGTGTTGAGCAATACAGAAATGTTCAACCTGCACTTTCTCCACAGCAGTCTCTGGTGCCAACCTCTTTCTTCAGGCTTGTGTCGCTCAGCTAGCCTTCACTGAACAGGTACCACAGCTGATTAGCTTCATAGGAGGAGAGAGGTTTATTTTGGCTCACAGTTTGCTTTGGAGATTTTGGCAACATACATGCACACATGGTGGAGTTAAAATAGCATACATTTCATGGGTGGTGAAGTGGTATGAATAAAATGGCCCTTTAGGCCCCTTGTGAGTGGCACTATTAGGAGGTGTGGCCTTGTTATAGGTATGGCCTTGTTGGAGGAAGTGTGTCACTGTCGGGGCGGGCTTTAAGGTCTCATACACTCAAGCTATGCCCAGTGTGGCTCAGTCTCTCTCTGCCTTCAGATCAAGATGCAGAACTCTCAGCTCCTTCTCAGCCCCATATCTGCATCCCACCATGCTTCCTGCTATGATGCTTATGGACCAAACATCTGGAACTGTAAGGCAGCCCCAAGTAAATGTTTTACTTTATAAGAGTTGCTGTGGTCATGGTGTCTCTTTACAGTCATGAAACCCTAACTAAGACAGGTGGAGAGAAAAAGAGAAAGAGGATGGGACTGGGATTCCACTCTTTTCCTCAAGGACACAACCAGTGGCAGGCTACTAGGTTTCACCTCTTAAACTTTTTACCACCTCCCAATAGCATCACCCAAGGGACCAAAGTTTTCACACACAGACCTTTGGAAGACATTGCTGATCTGAACCATAACAATCCCCTTTTGCATGCCCTAGATCCTACTGTAAGGCTGGCTGGTGGCTTCACCTTTGAAACATTTCCTGAATCTGCCTCTTCCCTAATGTGCTGTGTAATAGGCCAAGCTTCTAGCATCTCTCACCTGTGTGATTGCTTCACCTGCTCCAAAGGCTTGAACTTTATGTACATGGATTCATGCTCTTGAACCCCTGCATCTGGCTCTTGAGGGAGTCGGCTACATCTTAAGTCATCCACGACCCTCCTTTGCTCAGAGCTCACTGTATCCTTCTCAGAGGAATGAAAGACAAAGCTGTCATCTTGACCCCAAAGACGGCTCACTGTGCCTACTGTTCCCTTTAACCTCCAGCGTCAGTGCTTCCCTGATCACCTCTTTCTGCTCTTTAACCAGCTCCTGCCTCAGGCCTTGGCATCTGCTCACCCATCCATGGCTCCCACACCTCACCTACTTTGAATCCTATCAGCCCTGGCAGATTTACATCTTCCTCGGTGGACCATTTGCCTCCTGTACGAAATAGACGGTGTCGGAGGAGCACTGCGTCACCTGCTCACCCAAAGTAGTGTTTAATGCAGTAGAAGACAGATTCATGGCTCCTATTTTAGCTGCCTCCCCATGGTTGTCACAGCAAATGGCGTCGAGGCATGTTGCTTTGCGTCTGCTTTGTTGTCCGCAAACGATACATGCTTTTTATTGGTGTGTGAGTGTTAAAGCAACTCTTAAACTATGTTATCTGTGAGCCTCACACATGGTCTGGGCCACACAAGGCTGAAGACCTGGTCCTCCGATAATCACCACAAAGTAGGTACTTGATTGCTTTGCTTCGTCCAGATTCATATTTGTGAATATGAATTCACAGCATCAAAAGGGAAAATCACCTCTGGCAGGCATGAGTGGATTTGAACGTTTTCCAGCTGAGAGATGTTGGGAGCCCCTAAGGCTCCAGGTGTTGGTAGTGGAAGGTACCTGCTGCCGGACCATGAAGTCCTGGAGCTAAATGTGGGCCTTTAAGGCAAGCGTGTGGGCTGTGATGGAGCCCTGTCAATGCAGATGAGCCTGGTTTTATCTCATGTCAGTTTTGAGGGCTGGTAGGGCAGAGGGTGCCGCACGGACCCTCCCCAGTTCTATGCTGCTAACTGCCTTGCTGAAGGTCTTCTTCAAGCAGCAGCTTTCCTGGGCCAGACAGCATTGAAAACAAAGCTCCTCGGTGTCTTCCCATGGAGCTGCTGCGCAGCCTCCTGCGGCTTAGTGGTGAATGCCACTAAGGTTAATGCCTGCTGTTAGACCTGTCTGTCTGTGGGCCGCGTTACTAAGCGTCCCTTAAACAATCCCACTCGGATCCAGAAGGCTTTTGTTGGAGGTTCAAAGCATGCATGCAAACTCAGAAGGTTTGTGGGTTCTTTTGTACATGCTGGGGGGTGGGGTGTCCACGGGGAAATAGTTGAAGTCCCGGCAAAGAAGTTACTTTTGAAGTCAACTTCAGCATTGTTTGAGCTGCTTCCAATAGTGCACTGTTCAAAGTGTCCTTACAAAGTCTAGAAATACATTAAGAAACAAAAAGCCACCCAAGATCCTGACACCATCTAACCCTCACTGTATTTGTGATGTGTTTATTCTACATTTTTCCGGGTTTGGGGGCATGAAAGAATTTTTTTTTTTTTTTTTTTTTTTTTTTGGTGGGGGTTGCTGATAGAACTACTTTATGGTGGGGCTCACAACAGATCTGATAATTTAAAAGGGCAAAGCTTGTGGTTTGCAAATGAAGAGGACAGCATTTTCTCATGATCCATACAGGGAGTTGTGGTGGTCTGAGTAGGTATGGCTCCCATGGAGTTACGGATTTGGAGCAGAGCTGTCAGGAGGTGTGGCCTGGTAAGAGTAGGTGTGGTCTTGTTGGAGAAGTGTATCATGGCAGGGGTGGGCTCTGAGTTCTCCTCTGCTCAAGCTGGCACAGTCTCCTTCTGCTGCCTGCGGGTCACGGTTAGAACTCTCAGCTCCTTCTCCAGTGCCAGGTCTGTCCATACACTGCCATGCCTCTCACCTTGACGATAAGGGATTAAGCCTCTAAAGCTGTAAACCAGCCCCATTTAAATGTTTACCTTTGTAAGAGTTGCTGCAGTCACGGGGTCTCTTTACAGCAGTAGAAACCTATGGAAGACAGAAGGGTTTCCTGGAGACTGTTTCCGCTCCACGCAGTGACAGCCGGTGTCAGAGGCCTGGGGACTGACATTGGCAGTTGGCTGGGAGCTGCCAGAACAGCTCCACGGGATCCTTATGTGGCCATCGGTACTTGTACACAACACGGAGGCTGTGTTTGTAGATGAGGCCCGAAACAAGACAGCAACAGGGTTTGTGGGAGCTGACTTCAGAAGTCACATGAACATTATTGGCTGACGCACGGACAGGAGGGATAGTGAAGAAATTGGGAGGTGGCATATCCTCAGAAAACACACTGCCCCTGGTTCCTGAACCCTGTTCCTGGAGCGTTCTCCCTGAAGGCCTGCAGTGAAACCCAGAATAGTGTTAGTGTTAGTGTTATACTGGGTGTTTAACTTAGGGCCTGGCACACTCCCAAGCAAGCTCCTCACCATCGAGCTCTTATCTTTTTTTTGGGACAGGGTCTCCCTAAGCTGCCCAGGCTGGTCTTGAACTCATGTTGTAGTCTAAAATGGTCTTGAACTTGTGATTCTCCTGCCTTGGTCTCTTGAGTAGCTAGGATGACCGATTGGGCAAAATTTTATTTCTGATGCATTCGGGGTAACATTGATATGCATTTAGGATGGGTTTTGGCCCTTTAGCCTAGACCTATAGCTTCTCGCCATGGGGAGTATGGCTGCTTTCCTAGATAATGTGATCAAAGACACTTGGAGCCCTGTTGCCAGACCACCTTGGTCACGGGGCTCTCGCTCTCTCGCTTGCACACACACATTCGCACACACGCTCACACTGTTCCTGGAAAGGACTGTCCAGTTTGACTTTGCCTTCCAGCTGAGGTTGCCGCCACCTGACTGAAGCTGATATCTGAAAACGTGAGGAGTAAAGCCAGACCTCAAGTAGGTTTTGTGGTGGGTAACAGGATCCTGACACCAGGAAGACCTGTTCCTGGTCTTCTCCAGGCTCTCTACTACTGAACTCAGGAAACAGCGGCTATGCACAATAGTATCTTGAGCTGAAAATGTTTAATCCTAATACACAGCTGAATTCACCAATTGGCTCATTATTACAGGGGCATGTAGGATCTTGGCAATATGAGTCATCCAGATCTATGCGCCAGCAGCATGTATTTGTTTGTGCAGTTCATAAAAAATCACTGTTTGAATGAAATATGAAGGGACCCTTCTGTGGGAAATCAGAGTCAAGGTGGTAGGTGGAACCCAAGACCAGGGATCCAGTGTCTGCCCCTGAGGGGTGGAGCTACTGACCTGCCTGCTGCCTGCCGCCTTTAGGAGCTGCTGTACCTCCATCCCCATGAGTATTTTCAGCACTTCTTGGTTCAGAGAATGCAGGAAGCCGGAGTGTGCGTGAGGCGAACAGGCTTCCTTAAAAGGGGCTTTCAGCAGTTCGGTGTTGAGCCCTTACAGTTTTTCTTCAAGTTAGTTTTTATCTTGAATTAGCCCCAGGATTCCATTTACTATGTACTATTCTGGAACGTGCTCTTGGTGACCTAAAAAAGTGTGCTCTGGGAGGCTGGGACTTGTTTCCAGCTCCAGCTCTGCGGAGTTCTGCTCTTTGACTCAAAGGGGGGCACAGTTCAACTTCAGCAAGCGAATGTATGTTAAGCCTCATGTTCTGTTTTCCACATTCCCCATTGCACATACTGCTACTTCCTGCTTGCCCTTTGGTGCTGTGGACCAAAAGCCATCTTGCCATTCATGAGTTTTCTACGAACCTGTCATGAGCGTTCACCCCTCTAGGCCTTGTATATGCCATTTCTTCTTCCTGGGCTATCTCCTGCTTTCACTGCCCTGTCTGGTTTTCCTTACTCCTTGAAGCCATCCCCGTACCATCTGGCCAGTCCACTGTAGGTTGTTTCTCTCTGGCTCAGGCCACTTGGTGTGCTGTGGCCTTCTGGGTCAGGGGCAGCATTTGAGGGGTTTGGCCAGGATGCTTCAGCGCGGGTGGGCTTTACAATGGAGCGCAGGCTTTGGTGGCCAGGGGTCTAGATCTCAGTCCAGTGTTACAACACACTTGCTGTGTGCCTGTGGGCAGACTGCCCCACCCTTCTCTGTCTCTATCCTCATTTCTGGCAACAGAATTCTCATGACGTTTTGAGGACGTCAGCCCAGAAGCAGGAAATCTAACGAGAAGTTTTTGGGGTCTGAGGTCTGTAGAGACCATGGCTTCATTTAGCTTTATTTAAGCGTTGGAGGTGGGAGTAGATAGAGCTATGGAGAGGGCCCGCAGGGTCAGGTGCACAATCACTACCGAGCTGAGAGTCAGTTTTTAAAATATTGGGTAAGCGAACGAATGGGCGAAGGCAATAGCTTTCCGAATCTGCCTCCACCTTTTTGACTGGTCTGCTGCATCAAGGCCGTGCAGAAGCCTAGTCATGAGAAGCCCCTCCTCGCCTGCTCTCTCCCAACCCCCACCCATAGTGAGCTCCTCCTTGAAAAGTTCAGACTCTCGGGGCATCCCTAGAAGAAGCCTGTAGCCTTGAGTGGAACTTAGGGTGAGGAAGGAAGCCCCGCCCCCACCCGTGGGCTGTGGTCTCCTGGCAACCGCCTAACAAAGTCCCTTTGGGATCTGTTACCCTTGGGCCTGCTCCTAGCTTCTCTGCGCAGCAGGTACAAGAGCCAATAAGTGTGCCTACTCACAGGTAACCTTCGTGCCTGGGGTTCAGCCTCTATTTCACCCCAGACGCCCCAGGTCCCCGAGGCACCGACTGCCTGGCAGCCAGGGCTCTGTGTCTTGAAACCCGAGTGCTGTCCCCGCCAGAGCTCTCTGTGTCTTGTCAGGGCAGCTTGCCAGTTGTGCTCTGTGCCAGCTCAGTTCCCCCTTCTGCAAGTGGCAGCTGCCCGTTCTGTGCTGTTGCCAAGTCTGGAACTCTGCCGCAGCCTCTTGAAAGGACTCAGATCTCCCATCTTTCCGTGAATCCCGAGTCAGCGGTTAATGATCCCTATACCAAGAGCACCCACAGACCCATTCCTGATTTCAGAGAGAGCAGCTGGGTTCAAGTCGGAGAAACGTGCTGATCTTCATTGCCAGCCTCCACTCTCTGCTTCCTTTACCCAGTCGTTCTCCACCAAGGCCCGTGACTTTGGAGACAAGACAGAGATGGGACCGGGAGGGCGGGCCTTTCTGCATCGGGCAGGTTTACTCCTGGGGTCTTTGCTGTCTCCCACCAGGACCTTTCGGGTGCTGTGCACAATGTCCCTGCAGGCCTGGAATTGGGAGGAAGAGGAAAGAGCGAGCATGGAGCCGGTCTCCTCGGTCAGTGCTTGCCAGTCAGCGAGCGAATATGAGACAGAGGAGTACCTGAAGTCCAGGACCCCAGACTGGGGCTCTGAGTACCAGTTCAGCAGCAGCCTGCACTCCTCAGAGGGGCCATCCTGCACCTTTAACACTGATGTGCCGCAGGTTGTCCCCTGCACCTTTGTCATCTCACTGGCCATCCCCCCAACACTGTCAGGTAGGTGCTAGGGCAGAGCTCTTGCCTCTGAGCAAGGTAGGACACCGCTGGCTTTCTCTGGGAGTTGAAGGGACATTATCCTGCCTGCTCCCCTTCACCATTCCCCTCCCATGGTAGAGTAGCTGGCACCAAATAGGGCAGAGGTCAGATAAAGAACAGAAAATGTGGGTCCAGCTATTGGCTAGGCATGAAAGTGATTGTGTGACTTTCATTTAGGGCCACTTAGAGGCCCTGAGAAGCAGGTCATATGCTCTCTTCTCCTCTCCTCCCTTTCCCTCCCCTTCTCTCCCTTCCCTCTCTCCCCTCCCCTCTCTCCCCTCCTCTCTCCTTTCCTCTCTTCTGCTTTCCCCTCCCCTCCCCTCCTTTCCTGTCTCCTCCTCTTCTCATGCCCCTCACCCCACAGCTGAACAAACCCTGCAAAAATTAAGACTTGGTTCCCATAAACAGTTTGTCCATTACCCAATAACTTGCTTAAACTACCTCCCAGATTTATTGACCAAAGTCTCCTTAGTCAAGAGGTTTATCAATTTACTGGTGTAGCTGACACAAAAGGGACCCCACACTCACTGATTGCAAACAGGAGCCATTGTTTTCTTTGTCAGGTTGCCAGTCTAGGCTGGGTTCTGGGCAAGTAGCCTTCCCTCCTTTGTTTCGTATGTCTTTAGTTTTACTAGCCCAGCACTTGCTTTGTAGAACACAGCTTCAGAACTTCACAAATCCCTTGACCAGCCTTGAGCTGGATGAAAAGCATTTCTAGATTCAATACTTTCCCCTTTGTCTTCATTTCTGTGTGTGTGTGTGTGTGAGAGAGAGAGAGAGAGAGAGAAAGAGAGAGAGAGACAGAGAGAGACAGAGACAGAGACAGAGAGATCCTGCGATCCTAGTTTACTACTTGGTTTTAAAAATTGACACCTTACACTGGGCCTGGTGGTGCACACCTTTAATCCCAGCACTCAGGGAGCAGGGGCAGGGAGATCTCTGTGAGTTGGAGGCCAGCCTGGTCTACAAAGCAAGTCCAGGACAGCCAAGGTTGCACAGAGAAACCCCGCCTTGAAAAATAAAAACAAAACAAAATTGACACCTTAGGGCTGGTCAGTGGTGGTGCACACCTTTGATCCCAGCACTCAGGAGTTAAAGGAGGACATATCTCTCTGAGTTCAAGGACAGCCAGGACTGTTACATAGAGAAAACCATCTTGAAAAAAAATTTTTGACACCATAAAGACACTGCAAGTAAACAAAGTAAACAAAGCTGTGCTGAACTCCGATCCTGCCCTACCCTGGTGGGCATTTGACTTGCTCCCAGAAAATTTCAGTTACTATTCTTCAAAAGACATCCTCTCTCTTCCTCTCTCTCCTCTTCCTCCCCTGACCCTGTGTTTGTGTGTGTGTGTGTGTGTGTGTTTGTGTGTGCATGACTATGTGGAGGCTAGAGTTCAGCCTCAAGCAAGTGTTGTTCCTCAAGATGTCCACATGGTATTCTCAGACCATGTCTCTCACCTGGCCTGAAACCCATTGATTAAGACAGACTGGCTGGACACTGAGTTCGCAGGATCCTCCTGGTCTGACTGCCAGCCTGGGATCATAAGTATATGCACCCATACCTTTTTTTTTTTTTTAAACTAAGGTTTCATGCTTGTGTGGTAAGCATTTTACAACTGAGCTATCCCAGCCCTGGTATAGACTTCTTATTTTTTTGAGACAGGGTCTCATTATGTTGCTCTGGCTGTCCTGGGACTCACTATGTAGAACAGGTTAGCCTCAGACTCAACAGAGATCTGTCTTCCTCTGCCTTTCAAATGCTGGGTTTAAAGGCAATCACCTCAGCACCCAGCCTAGATATTCTTACATTTTCGTGTATATATGTGGTCGCTTCTGAAAGGAAAAAATCAGCTCAGGACCCCCAGCATGATATTTTCAGTAAAAAGAAAATTTATTTTCCCCAGAGGGACAGAGGTCAGGAATAAGGGACAGAGATAGGAGATACAGGGAGAAAGGGAAGAGAACAAGGGAGAGGGGAGAAAAGGGACAAGGAGGAGGGGTAAGTGGCATTTGTCCCAGAAGAACAAAGGACTACATCTGGATAGAGAGGAGACAGATGTAGCACATAGAAAAAAACCACAAAGGGAAACCCTGTGTTAGGGTGAGGTGTTTAATTTTAGTTGGGCATTTTGATTAGGTGAGCCAAAGGGGGCTTTTTATTGCTGGACTTCAATACTTTAATGGCTGGACCTTGGTGGTCAGCCTCAGGAGGAGAAGGAAGTGGCCAAACAAGGGACTAATCTTGGTGGCTAGCTTCAGGAATGTAATCTAACAGTTTTTTGTTTTTTTTTTTTTTTTTTAGCAAGGCAGAGGGAATGATGGGGAAGGGCAAGGCCTGCCAGAGCCATACTCACCACATTTGAGGCTATCAGGGCAGGAAGTCAAACAGCAGGAACCTGGTTCAGAGACCATGGAGGAGTGCTGCTTAATGGGGTGCTCCTCATGGCTGGCTTATAGAACCCAGAACCACCAGCCCAAGGGTGGTCCCACTCACAATGGGATAGGTCCTTCTATGCCAACCACGGGTTAAGAAAATGCCCTGCAAGCTTGCCTACAGCTGGCTCTTAACAAGACATTTTCTCCATTGAGGGTCTCTCCTCTCAGATGCCTCTAGCTAGCTAATATAAAACTAGCCATCACATGTACCTCTATAGGTACAGAAGGTTCTGCCTTCAATGATCAAGAACGATGTGGAAGTGTAAGCCAAATAAACCCTTTCCTCCCCAAGTTGTTGGTCATGGTGTGTCATTACAGCAGTTCAAACACTAAGACAGTACAACTGCCCATAGCTTGTTCTAATCTGAATCTAAATAAACAAATAAATAAATGGACAAATAGCCAGATGTGGTGGTGCACACCTATGCCTACAAGAATTGGCCGGTAGCTCTCAGTTCCAAACTGCTTAATGCTAACTACTGCGGCAGCCCAGGAATGAAGCAATAGGTGCTGGCTGGGGTTAAGGACCTGAAGTCACAAAACTGCTGCTTGGGCTGGCGATGAAGCAAAGGTGATGTGTCCAGCATGTCCAAGACCTGGGCTCTATTCCTAGTGTTGCAAAACAAGACAAAAACAGCCAAAACTGAAAGTAAACAAACAACCCCCCAAAATGCAAAAAGAGAAACAAAAAACAAAAGAAACAAAAACCCAGAAATAAAAAGGAAAAGGTAGCTTTAAAGATAGTTATATTTTAGGGTTTGGGTGATGACATACTTCTTCAGTCCTAGCAGTTGGGAGGTAAGTAGAACTCTGTCAGTTTGAGGTTAGCCTGGTCTACATAGTGAGTTCCAGGCCAGCCAAGAAAACATAGTGATATCCTATCTCAAAGAAATACAGGAAATAGATGAGAGACTATCACATTTAAAATCTTTATTCTATAGATGATTATATTTGGGTTGGTATGGATGGAAAGCTGGGTTCATACTTAAAGTACTTGGGAGGCAAGAGTGTCACTTGGGTCCAAGAACCTGAGACCAGCCTGGGAACCTTGCTGAGATCTTGTCTCAAAACAAATCCAGCCTACTAAGCAAGTGTTGCTGGCATTCCTAAGCGTCCTCTTATGGTAGAAGACTCAACCTAAGAGGTTCGCTTAAGCTCCTGTCCGACTCTGCTGCTCACTGGGGTGGCCTCTGGCTGAGTCCAGCCTTCCTTATCTCATGAGCTGCCTCCTTGACAGGAACAGCATCACTCCTGACGCTTTCTCTAGGCCGTTCTCTCTGTCTGGATGGCTGACACCTTTGCTTCTACAAGACCCTGAGAAGGCGGCCTGGGAAGCGGGTTCCCAACATTTGGTTATACCTCAGAACCCTGTTCGTGCTTCTACCAGACAAGTCATATTGTCCTGAGATTTTGGGGGTGTGGTCTTGACCTTCCTTTTAAGGTTGGGCCTGGAGTGAGAAAAGCAAGGTGCCTGACACAAAACCTTAAGGAGAACCCAGGCTCAGAGCCATGACCTTCAGTTTTGTGTGCACTGTGCATAGTCCTCTGCCGTCTGGGCCTGAACCTTCTCTCCTAAACCTTAGTCAGCTTTGTCACTGAAAAAATCCTGGAGATATTCAACTCAATTTAATAATGAGGAAAGGCTTGTTTTGGCTCGCTGTTTCAGGCCGTGGTCGCCCAGATCATGATTACTTTGGGGACTGACAGGAAGTAGGACATTATGGTGGAAGTGCTGGGGAGGAAACTGCTCCTCTACTGTCAGCCTCAATGGGGCTGGAGGCAAAGACAGACAGAGGGAGGAGATGCTGGTACCCCGTGTCACCTCTGGGGAGATGCTCCCACTGACCCAATCTCCTATGATGCCCAGCTCTTAGTTTCTGCCACTTTCGGATGATGGCACTGAGCAATGGGTATTTTGGAGACATTCCCAAACCATAGTATCATTTTTGCCAAGGCTCATTAATCTTGTGTCTTGATAGCCGGCTTCCGGTTCCCTTGGGCTCAAGCTTCTCCTAAGCTACGTGTCTCTTCTCTCTCAAACCGCTGTCCGTCAATCATGGATCAGGTAATGCAGTTTGTTGAGCCAAGTCGGCAGTTTGTAAAGAACTCAATTCGGCTGGTTAAAAGATGCACCAAACCTGACAGAAAAGAATTCCAGAAGATTGCCATGGCCACAGCAATAGGATTTGCTATCATGGGATTCATTGGCTTCTTCGTGAAACTGATCCATATCCCTATTAATAACATTATTGTGGGTGGCTGAGTCCTTTCTCATCGTGGGAACTAGTAAACTAATGAGAGTGTGACGAGCGCATGAAGTAAAAAGCTGCCTGTGCTTTGTGTTTTTCTTTCCTTTCCTCTTCCCCATGAGGTTTTCTATTTCTAAATTAAAATAATTTCAAAATAAACACTTTTCCATAAGAAAAAAAAATCTTGTGTCTTGTAGGTTTTAAAGGAAAAGTAACAATTGAAAAAAAAAAGGGCCTTAAATCAGACGGCCGGATTTCAAAGCCTCGACAATTCTACCACATTGAGTATTTTTTCTTGCCCGATGATGTAGAGCCCCAAAAAATTGATATTGTGGTGTTTCATGGCCTGGCCAAAGTGTTTATGGAGTCAGGAGTAAAGGTGAGTGGCGTGTGTGTTTGTGTGTGTGTATGTGCATGTGTTTCTGTCACATTCAGGATGTAGACTGGGTCCCACTGACCCGCAGCAGACCCATCAGTGACTCTCCCTAGATATGTGGGATCGTAGGGCCACCTCAGGACTAATGAGTGAGAAGCAGAATGGACCTACAAATGCAATTACATGGCTTTATAGATAGTTTTACTCTATAGGTTCTTGAATGAATCCTAAAGCAAGGTTTTTAATTTTATTTTTTAAGTACTGATCATTCACTGAGCAAATCCCTGAAGGTTCTTTCCTACTGTGTATATACACACGTGTGTGACTGTTCCTATGCAAGCCTAGTCCAACGTGCCCACACACATGACGATTCCTGCAATCGTTTAGCTCTGAGTCATTGCTTAGAAGTAATTATCAAGGGTAGTATGCACGCATTTGCTCAGACTTTAGTCTTCAAGGACCTGATGACCTGACAGGGTCCAGTCCACAGGACCTACTTCCCTGGGGTTGGAGCTGGGAGAGAGGCAGGCACAGAAGCGACAGAGTGTCATATCTGCTGTGTTGCTGGTGGGGCTAGGCAGGTGGGGAGTGCCTAGGCTGTAGATTGGTCCTTCATTTCCCAGAGTCTCTGAACGCTGTTTTATACAGACTGTGAAGCCGTGGAAAGAAGGTGACAAAATCTGGGTGTCATGGAGCCAGACTTTGAACATCAATATGACAAAGGAACTGTTAAAGAAACTGAATTTCCACAAAATCACTTTGAAGTTCTGGGACACCAAGGACAAAGTTTCAAAAAAAGTCAGGTACCACCGGCTGAAGGCAACGCTACATTTGGAAGACCCAGAAACTTTTGGTAAGTTGGATGTTTTTGCTTATATTTCAGATGGTTCTGGAGACATGTTTTCTTACTACAGGTTGGGCATACGTCATCCAGAAATTTAAAGTCTGAAGTCAAGTTTGATACTTTTGTGCTGACATCATTTATAGCTTAAGTGAAAAACTCCATAGCTGAATTCACATGACAGATCATGTGACGCTGGACAGGTCCAAGTAAAGGCTCATCAAAGTACCTTATAGTAGAGTGGTTTTCAACCTTCCCAAGGCTGCGACCCTTTAATTCAGTTCCTTACGTTGTGGTGACCCCCAACCATAAAGTTATTTTCATTGCTACATCATAACTAATGTTGTTACTGTTATGGATTGCAATGTAAAGATCTGTGTTTTCTGATGGCCTTGGGTGACCCCTGTAAAAGGGATCTCAACCCATAGGTGGAGAACTACTGCCTTACGGCCTCTCCTCAGGACTATGAACGGGGTGTTCACACAGCATGAAAGGATCTCCTGTTTAGAGTTCTGCTCCTCCCCATAAGATGCTTTATTTGCATATGAAAATATTCCCAAATCTGAAAAACGTTCCAAGCCCCAAGCATTTAAGGTAGGGGTTTTTAGATTTGTACTTTTCGAGTAAAAGCCAGTGTTCCTTTGAGCCTGCATTGGATCAGCCAGGTGCACACGCTGCTTTCTGAACCCGGTGTGCTACCCAGCTAGGCACACCTGGGGAGTCACGGTGCGTCTGTGCACGTGGGCAGTGTCTATGCAACTCCCTCATCTTTGGCGACCGTTTGGTCCAGAGTAGCGTGTTCCCATCACTGCCCTGTCTTCCCAAATTGATAGTGTATGTTTACTCAAAATTAAGGAAGCAAAAGGAAGGTTTGGCTTGTGTGTCCAGCTCAGTGGTAATAGTATGCGTTGCACGTATGAATTCCTGGGTTCCTTCTCTGGTACTAGGAAAAGAAACAGACTGTTAAAACCCCTGCCTCCTCTGGCTGGGATGATGGCTCAGTTGGTAAAGTCCTGCCATGCAAATATGAGGACCCAAATCTGACCTTCCAAAATTCATGTGAAAAAGATGGCTGGGGTGGCACACACCTGTGAGCACTTTTGGGGAAGTAGAGATAAAGCTTCCCTGGGACTTGCGACCACCAGCCTAGGCAAACTGGTGGGCTTCAGATTTAGTGAGCAACTGTTTCAAAAACTAAGGCGGAGAGTGATAAGGCAAGAACTCTGGTCTCTGCACGCACGCACTCTCGTCTCCAAACATGCACACAGGCACACAAATCCTACCTTTTCAGGACAGCACGCTGACATTTGAGTGCCCCCATTTCAGAGGTGTTTTGTTATTGTTCTGCTAGGAGTGAAATCCGGGGTCTTGAACATGCTAGGCAAACCTCTATATCTGAGTTTCCACCCCAGCCTTTTCTGTACCCCTCTCCCAAGTTTAATTTGAGACAAGATATTACTAAGTTGCCCAGGCTGGACTGGAACTTTTGCTCCTTCTGCCTCAGCCTCTCTAGTGCTGGGATTTCAGGGAGATTCATCGCAGCACAGATGTTTACTTTTGTGAGTTCACTTAGATTCGATTCGTCTGAACCTCCCTGAAGCAGCAAGCAGCATGGGGAGAGGCTGTGATGTCACGGCCACCTTGTCCCATCTCCTCCTCATTCTAGCTGCAGGCTGTGGGCAGGCTCCTGAACATTCTTCTCATCTGTAAAACAAAGGAGTAGCCACTCCTCTAGCACGCTACAGGCAGGTGATGAGACTAGCCTCCTAGGACTCAAGTGCCAGGACGGAGTGTGCTGTCCTCAAGGAACTTAAAAACTAGAACGGAGGAGCAGCTAAGGGGCGGGTGCTGGGTGCAAAATCTGTGACACTTTCTGATGCTTAAAGAAGTAGGCTCTGTGGCCTCCACGCTGTTTGTGTTGTTGGCTTTCAGACGAGGCAGTCACTCAGGATACAGTGAGCTGAGTCCACCCTTCCAGAGGAGTGGGAGTGGCAGGCGCACACACCAGTTTTGTGTGTCTGGGACACTTTAGCTTCCCAGGTTACCTTCTTGAGGGCCATTTTGACATCTCAGGCTTGGGACTTGCATGCCATGGGCATTGATAGTTTGGGCCAGGTGCTCTCTGGTTGTGGGTTTTCCTATGGATGAAAGAATGTTTGGCAGCATCCTAGGCTCACAAATCCTTCATGTATTGCCAGGTGTCCTCAGTGGGTTCAGCACACCACTCCCCGGGAATCACTGATTTAAATCTAAACTATGATCATAAGGTTTCTATGGGAGGAAGATGGGACCAATATGTAAATTTTGTCACTCAGACTGAAGGAAAGAGTTTTATCCTCTGGCTGTGGGCACAGGATACCTACAGGTGTCTCCTGTGGCTTCTGGGGTCATTGTCAATAGCCTCCCTTTGGGTCTGTCTTTTGTCACAGATACCTAGTAGTCACATTTCCTGGGAGCCTCCATATGCCAAGAGGCCTAGTCTGGGTTGTGGCAGGAAGGAAGTTTGTTTGGCAGATCATGTGCTCAAGGCCAGTGGTCTGCATGGGACATCAGTCGCAGAGCTAGCCTTCGTGCCGCCTCTGGATGCTCAGTGCTGGGTAAAGACAGCATCGTTCACAGAATCCACAGATGCTGAGGGCCCCTCCTATGCCCTGTGTTCCCAACCCTCCTTTCCCAGCTCCTGCTTGCCCTGCAGTGTTGTCCCGTGGCAGTCTGCCTCAATTCCCACTCTCTTAGCGTCCTTCTCCCACCCCTGTCTCCTCTCTTCTGCTGCCTGGGCCCGAGTCTCCCCACCGATCGCAGTGTCTCAGTGAAGGCCTCTTAGGACTTTCTCCCTGGCACAGGGCTCCTGACAGGGCTGCTTTCTGGCAGCTGGCTACATCTTGGGGTGGGGGTGGGGGGCTCCCAGTCCCATCACTTTCTCCAAAAATGTTATCTGCCCTTCAACAATGAGTCAAATTTAACTTCTTTTTCTCTTCTTTCTCGAAGTTTCCATGATCTTCACTTATTCCATGTATTTGTGGGGTGCTTGACGCTGTTGTGTGTGGGAAGCTCCTTGCCGGGAGAGGGACTGGCCTGTGGGTGCAGCTTTCTGGCTGAAAACAAGGAGTGCCTGTGGACCTGGTTCCTCTGTGGACGTGGTTCTCAGCCTTCCTAACGCTGAGACCCTTTAATACAGCTCCTCATGTTGTGGTGACCCCCCACCATAAAATTATTCGTTGCTCCTTCATGAGTGTAATTTTGCTACTGTTATGAATTGTAATGTAAATATATGATGTGCAGGATACCTGATAGGTGACCCCCCCCCCAGAGGGGTCATGATCCAAGGACTGGTTGGCTGAGTTACCTAAGTACCAGATTCCTCAATTATAGACAGGGAACACACCAACTCCTTCCTCTCGGTGAACTGTGGAGATTTGGTGGCGTGGCACCCACAGGGGCTTAGGGGAAGCTGAGGTACAAGCACCTGGCTCTGACAGATGTGTGACGGGGTCCCCTAGTATCTAGTGGCAGTGTCATAGATTATCCAGGGGGAAGGGGTCAGAAGATGGGGTGTGGCAGGTATCCAGTAGGTAGTTTTGACTGATCCATTTTCTCATTCCAGAGGAAGTGAAATTTCTGGTTTTAAGTCAGAAAAACTTGTCTACAGCTGGCGGTGATAAAGCCAGCCCTGTTGCTGAGGTGTTGAAAGAGGGGAAGTCACAAGGTCACAATGAAAAGGCAGAAAAAGAAAAGACAGAAAAAGAAAAGGCAGAAAAAGAAAAGGCAGACAAACCCATGAAGTCTCTGCAAGGTGAGGAGTGAGGGCCGTGGACACCTGAGCTCAGCACTGTGCCGGGAGACCAGCTCAGCATGCAGCTCCTAGCACCCATGGCCCATCCAGTCATTGCTCCTGTGCCCCTGTGTGGCTTGATTTTGATTCTTCTCTCTTGCCCTGCACTATCCTCCCTTCTATTTCATTCACCCTCCCCCCGCTTTTTTTGAGCCAGGGTCTCTCTAAGCTGGCCTGGCTGGTCTAGAACTCACTATGTAGGCCAGTAGGCCTGGCTGGCCTTGAATTTGAAGTCACTTTCCTGTCCTAGCTTCCTAAATGTTGGAACTGCAACTGTAAGCCAGCATGGAGCTGATTTAATGGATATTTTCCTCACAACTCAAAACACACACACACACACACACACACACACACACACACACACACACCCCTCAATAAGACATGTCTGAAGCTAATTTTAAAAGAAAACCCAGTCACTATAGAAAAACATAGGAAAGTGAAGTGTCCTCTATGACTCCACTGCCAAATGCAGCTAATGGGACATTTTGGTTGTCCTGTTACATCACACCTCTCTGTTTCTGTTCTAGGATTCGTTTTTGTTTTTGTTTTTGTTTTCAGCGTGTGGGTTTCCCCGAGATACAGATGTCTTCTGAGAGGATTTGCCTGTCAGCCCAAGTCTCTCCTGAGTCCCGAGAACTGCCTACAAACCTCATTTGTGGTGGCTCTGTAGTATGTTATCTCATAGGACTGTAATGTGGCTGACAGTTCCCTATAGACTCTCGGAGTGCTTTCAACGATATATTCTACACTATATCATCCATCAGCAGGGCAGAAGCGGGCACTTTCCCATTTCGTAGACCTTCCTCCTCCTCCTAGGTGACAAGGGTTCCACTTGCCTTCATAGGCCTGATAATTGGAATTAATCTGGCATGTGCCTTTCATTCATTAACAAGCCCTTCTTTCTGAATGCCGCTGCTGTGTCAGGCCAGCACATGTGTCACTGAAGTGGGTGGGGACATCGTTTGCTGGGAACTAGCAGAGCGAAGCTTTCAGACTCTTGGTAACATTTGCTTCTCACCAAGCAGAGACTGAAAGCTCTTCTAAGAACAGCGAGGAACATGAGAAGTTACTGAAGACAGACGACCCTTCTACATTTAGGTAAGGACTAGGGCTACCTCAGGGTTGGAGTAAGGGCCCTGCTCACTGCGTCACTGGACACATTTTGCTCGTATTGGTTAAGGTGGAGCCAAAGCAAGCTAGGACCTGAGAAAGATCAGGGAAGGGAGGGGAGCCGGCTCCAGCACTAGGCATCTACTCTTTGCAGGGAGTGCTGGACCTCAGCTGACCCTCAAATATCAGGTGGTTTGACTGTCAAGCTCCGCTGTCTGCACAAGGTGATGGGTGCTGTCAGCGAGTTTCACAAAACCTGAACTCTGGAATTTGGGGGCAGCCGGGATTCCAGCCCACAGTCTCAGCCTGAGGAGCCTCAGGCTTCCAAAAAGTCGCCTCCTGGAACTCAGATAGCCAGGCTGGTTCTGGAGAAGCAGGGACGGAGCACGCAAACACAGCTGTGGTGTGTACGCCAGGAAAGCCAGGAGCACCGGCCCTGTCGGCTTCCTCTTCTGGTCTCCAGAGACTGAGCCTCACTGCTTCTCAGGCAGGGCTCAGGCTTTCAAGCTCCGGCCAATCTCCCACCCTAACCTTCTGAGTGTGGGACTAAAGGTGCATGTCATCATGCCTGGATAATGATTTTGACTTTTAGATACTGTTCTTAGTTGAATTTGCATATTAATTTGCTAAAATCGACCTTTCTTTGCTGTCCCCCCTCACCCCCCCCAATCACAGCCTATCCTTTTACTCAGCTCGCACCCTCCTTTGTAGACTTAGGTGGAGATAATATTCACTTCCTGGATGTGGATGATTCTTGTGGGCTCTTAGGTGATTCATAGTTTTAGCTACTTTAAGCATGTATTATTTTTCTTCACATTGAACCTTTGGTTGTGCAAGTATGGCCCACTCTCTTACCAGTGCTGGAGAGACTGGTAGACTTAAGTCTCAGGCTGCTCCAGGCTCCCGAGGCATAATCCACAGTTGACCAAATCCCTAGCTTTAAGGATGAAGTGAGCACCCTCTCAAGACATGGCACCCATGTTTTCTCTTTGTTACCCTGTCTCTGTGGGGACTTTCTAGACAGACCACCATAAAAACAAGTGCTTCTTTTGGTGGCTCAACCATGATGGAGATCAAGGAACTCATCGAGAAAGCATCCGTGAGCAGCTTAATGACCATGATGGAAAGACAAAAGTCTCAAAGTAAGTTAAGATGGGATTTGTTGTTTCATGATATGACTAGACTTGAAAAGTTACAAAGTATTTAAATTTAAGGTCCTTTAGGAAGATTGTTATCTGATTCCATGTTAGATACCTACTGTACTATAAACACTTTAACTCGTCCATCAGCCCATTCATCTGCCCCTCCCCCAACACCTGCAGCTTGTTCTTTGGGGATCAGCTTCATTTCTGAGGCTTACTCATGTCCGCATACGTAAGGGCCTTTATTCTTGCAATGGCAGAGCGCCCTGTCGGATAGTGCACCTCTGTCCTTCATTCCATCCTGTCAAGGGGTGCTTGACACCATCGCAGTATGTACCCCCACAGCTTTTGGGACAAGACAGTTGCCTGCAGCTGGCTTTGGTTGTTCTTGCCTAGGCTGGCTTCACGGATCCCAGCGATCCACGTCTGGGCTCTTCTCTGCAGCTTGCCAAAAGTCCACGCTTTCCTGCTGCTTTGAAATGCCACCGCTGGCTCTAGTCAACTCTCCCATTGTCTGTACCCGAGCCTGGAGTTTCTAGAATCTTCCATTGGTCTTCATGCTCCCTAAGCTAATAGCTCATGCTGTTGCCAGGGATCAACCTGAGCTAAGCATTTATTTTTTTACTAAGGTGTGTAGCCCTGGCTGGTCTGGAACTCACTCTGTAGACTGGGATGGCCTAAAATTCACCTTTGTGAGTCCTCCTGCCTCTGCCTCCCAAGTGCTGGGGTTAAAGGCATGTAATGCCAAGCCTAGCTGAGCTGAGCATTTGACTCTTTGCTCCTGTCCTCTTCCCAGTGATGCTGATGTCATTAGACAGCTGAGGTATCTAGGGTTAACATCTCCCACCCCACCCCACAGGAAGGTGGAACTGGGCTTGGAACTCAGCTCATCCCCATAGCCCAACCTCAGCTGCTCTGTGACCGAGTGACTTATTTAGTTGGAACACAGTACAGTGTCATCAGGTGACCTCAGTCTCAGAGGGGTTGGGGACAGCCTATACCTGTCTGTAGCTGACAATCGCTTGCCACCTAAGCCTAGCAGCTACCTCTCTGGTAGTTAGGAGAAGACAGTTGCAAAGATAACCCTTGATTTCTCAGCGCTTCCAGAACCTTCCTGATCTCTACAGCATATGTAAATGCGCACATCTAAGTGCAGAGAGAATTGCTTGTGTAATGTGTGGACACCTGTCACCTGTCACCAAAAAGCTGAGGCAGGATATAGGAGGTGGGAGTTCCGACAGGGAGAGATGAACTCTGGGATTGAATCAGACTCTGAGGAAGATGGACACATGAAACTGAAGAGAGGTTTCTCTTCCAGCCACATGGCACGCAGAGAATAGAATAAACGGGTACACTAAGTTATGAGTTAGTCAGGGAACAAACCAAAGCTTATGGCCTAGGCAGTTGTTCATAAATAATAAAGTTCCAGAGTTGTTATTTCTGGAACTGGGGCGTGGATGGAAAAGCCCCTGGTTACATTAAACATGGAAAATTCCTTCTTAACATTTATTTCATTTGGTTCCACAGCCAAAGGAAGAGACGCAGACATGAAGAGGAAAAGCTCAAAGAAAGTGAAGAAATATCAGTCTGAAGAGGAGACGGCTGGCACGGGGAGGCAGAGCATCTTCTCCATCCAGTTGTCCATCATGCCGCTCCTTGCTGGTAGCTAACATGTACTTAGCACGTTCACATGCGAGACACCTGTGGTGACTGAGATCTTGCTCTGTCCCTCATTTCATCCTCACTGTCACCTCAGGAATTCCTCAACTGTACAGAGAGAAAAAAATTGCAGGCCCAGGGAGGTTAGCTACCCTGCAAGATCACATAGCCGACAAGCGTAGCGTCAGAATTTGACTCCAGAGTTCAAGGAAACCCGTGAGAACATAACTGTCACGGTTTTGTTTGGTAAAGGAGGTGTTGTCTTTTAGTGACTGCTCTCCTACAGGTTCTCACCAAAGCATCCTAGCAAAGGGAATGGAGGGATGTGGACCGCTTAGGACGTATTCCGTCATGTCCTGTCATTCACTTCTCATGACAGGCCTGCGTCCATCCGCTCAGTGAACTTGGGGTGGTGTTGTGGGCAGGGGGTTTTCACTGAGGAAAAGTCATGCTAAGTAACTTACCCACTGCTTACACGTCGGTAGTGAAACTAGGGTTCGATTGTTCTTGACTTGTAAGAGTGTCCATGTTTATGAATTTACCTTCTGACAATGAACGGATGTTTATTATATTCATATACTTTGATAAGGATACATTTTAGATTAAATTATGTAATTATAAAAAAGAGTAATGGGGAAAACGATCTCCTACCCCCTGCCCCGTTTAGAGAAAATAATTTCAAATCCATTCCAAACTTTCTTCTGGCTTTTCACTCTCAGGAGGGGTGTGCGCCCTCCACTGGCTACTTTGCAGAGTTGCAGGCTCTGCTGAGATGGCACCAATCCACACACCATTAAGTCCAAGTGTATAGAAGACAGTGTGTGTAACTGCTCAGTGCAGGACGTTGCCAACAAAGGGACTCTGCGTGGCTGGTAGCGAGATGAGAGCTAGATCGTCGGGAGGGCAGATATCGGATGCTGGTGGTTCCAGGAAAGCAGAGATGAACCCCAACCTTTACAGCAACCGCAAGTGGCGGTCAATTAGAATGGCCCTGACTTGGGGCGGGCTGCTTTCACCATAGAATCAGCCTGAGATTTTTCCATTCCAAAATTGGGCACCATTTTGTTCGGCAAACACCTTCCATTTCAGGTTAGGCCATAGGCTTTCTATACCGTCATAGGAGACGTCATTTGGCTTGTATCCCAGTGGGTCTTTTGGAAGGTCTTGATTGCAGGAGGGAACTCTTGCATTAAAAGGGCCTTGGGTGGAGGGCTGGGGTGAGTGAGCAGCCTGGGGCAGGTTGCTGTGTCTCTAGTGTAAGAGTTCAGAGACCTGGAGTGATTGTTCAACATCTCTGAAGCTCACCTTCCCTTCTGTAGAGTGAACACGACAGCAGCCACGGAAGAGCGTCTCAAAGGATCAAGGGACAGAGATGTCTGTTTAGGGCTGGCATCCATAAGAGCTCAGCTCTCCCTCCTTCACATAGTAGCAGGGCTTTTCTTCATGGTGTCTCATGGGGGTAGGGGACTTGCTCAGGGTAGAAGCATTTCTGCTCATCACGACCGGCAGCAGGTGCTACTGGCACCCACTAGGATACTGCTACATGTTCTGTCATTCCCACAGCCTAGGAGGGGAAGTAGGGGACACGCCACAGGTGCCAGTCATGTGCTCTACTTGTTTAAGGGCCACAGGTAGCTACATGGACGTCAGGTGCCTTCACTGGTGTTTTGTCTTGATTTAGCTGCCTACTGCAGCGTGACCACTGGTGCTGTCTACAGTGAAGGCCAGGTTCCATGTTTGCTAGCTCACAGCTGCATAGACACTAAGCTTTGAAATGTGGCCGGTGTGGAGAAGGAACAGTCTGTGGCTTTTACTGAAGGTACAACAGCCCCACCTGGACATCGGATAACAGCGTGGTGGCACAGGTCTAGAACAGTGGCTGTATACTCACCTATCTGTGTAGAAGCCACACACTGGACCAGTCATTTCTGTGTAAGTGGCACTCATGCACCAACACATTTTTACTGTACTCAGGGTGATTCAGAAAATACACATCTCAAGATAAAGGGAGACGGTCAAGATAAAGTGATAAAAATTCAGTCCTCTTAGGGAGCTGATTAGACTTTGGTGTGAGACATTGGTGTTGGAAATCACCCCTGTGAGCATTCCCCAGTTTTTCCGGTTCTGGGCATGGACCCCATGGGCTTAGGTAGTCTAGGCAAGTCCCCTGCCACTGAGCTACATCCCAGCCCTTCATTTTCTGGAAACAGCAGTTTTGCTGTGTAGCCCAGGCTGACCCGGAACTTGAGCATCTCCTGCCTCATCCTCCTGAGTGCTGGGATCACAAGTGATTGCCACTATGCCCAGTGTTCCGATTCTTTTTGAAAGGCTTTCCCTTGTTGTGTGAATTTTTATTTTTCATCTTTCCTTTTTTTTCCTTTTACTGAAAATACATTTTTCTCAGATAATATATCCTGATTAGGGTTTTCCCTCTCTCTGCTCTTCCAAGTTTCTTTGCCCTTGTCACTGCTCTATTGCTGTAAAAAGACACCATGACCAAGGCAACTTTTATAAAGAAAAGCACATAACTGGGGGCTGGCATGAGTAGGGGTGGGAATGGTGCTGGAGAAGTAGGTGAGCACTCCATCCCGATACAGGAAAAGGGAGAGACTGGGGTGGGGTGGGCTTTTAGAACCTCACAGCCCACCCCTGGTGACTTAAGTGCAGTCCTATTCAAACTTCCACATCCCAGTCTCTGGCCCCACAGGCTTGTAGCTGTATCACAGTGCAAAATGCATTAAGTTCAACTTCAAAAGCACCCATTGTCTGTCACAGTCCCAACACTATTTAAAAGTCCAAAGTTTAAAGTCTTGGAGATTCGTGCAAACTCTTAATTGTAACCCCCTGTAAAATCAAAAGAAAAAGCAGGTCCTATACTCACAGCATACCATGGCTCAGAATATACATGACCGTTCCACTATGCATGGCACATTTCTCCTTGTCCCATTTGCTCTTTTTCCTTGCAGGTATGCATTGACAGTGACCACTAAGCTGATCGAGGTGGTGCACGCACGCCTGTAATTCCAGCACTTGGAGAGGCAGAGGCAGGAACCAAGGCTACACAGAGAAACCCTGTCTCGAAACAACAACAACAATGACACCACCACCAACAAAGTTAGCACTGGCAACCCTGAAACACAAAGATAGGCTGTCTTGAAATCTCTGCCAAAGCCATTAATCCAAGACTCTTCAAGTTAGCTTCAGGCAGACTTTTAGAACAAGGGCAAAACCAAACCAAAATAACAACAAAACAAAACCAAACACCCTCAAAAACAAAACCAAATGAACAAACAAAAACGTTCTTCGCCAAAATTTTACAAGAATAGTCTCTAGAGCACTTACTGAAACTTCATGAGCGGGGCTGTTATAATTCACGTTGCTGTCTGCAGCACTGTCTCCCATGCTCCTGCTAATGTGGCTCATTAAACCCATTTAAAGCATTCAGCTGCTTTCCTAATCCAAATCCACATTCCTCCAACAAACAGCAGTCAGGCCTGCCACAGCAATACTCCAGTCCTTGGTACCAACTTCTTCCTTGGTCACTGTTATATGGCTGTGAAGAGACACCATGACCAAGGCAACTCTTATAAAGGAAGGCATTTAACTGGGGGCTTGGTCACAATTCCAGAGGCTTAGTGCATTTTCCTCAGTGTAAGGAGCATGGTGGCCGGCAGGTGCGGTGCTGGAGTAGTAGCTGAGAGCTACCCCCTGATCTATAGGTGGGGGAGGGGGAGCGGGCTTCGATCTTCCATGTCCTTTATATAGGCTGCAGGCAGAATGTGTGTCCCATGTATCTCCCCGCCTCAGAGATCAGGATTAGAAGTGGCTCTTCCTACTTTAAATGATTTAACTAAGAAAAAATTTCTTCTGGGTAGTGGTAGTGCACCCTTTTAATCCCAGCATTTGGGAAGCAGAGACAGGCAGATTTCTGTGGGTCTGAGGCCAGCCTGGTCTACAGAGTTGAGTTCCAGGACAGCCAGGGTTACACAAAGAAACCGTGTCTGGAAAAACAACAAACAAACAAACCCCTCGCAGCTGTGCCCAGCCACTTGGGTTTTAGTTACTTCCAGACATAATGAAGTTGACAACCAAGAACAGCTTTGTTAGGCCCAGCAAGAGCCTAAATATAAGAAAGTATGAAGAGAACTCAGGAAACTAATCATCCATCGATGCAAAAAGACGCAAGAGGTTACTCTTGACCATTGTGCAATGGGGTAACCCCTGCTGGTCAGCTAGGAGTAGCACTGGGAGACAAAGACCTTAGGTTTTTAAAAGACACAAGGCGGGACTCTCCTGGGGTTGCCTTCTTGGTGATTTAGGATTGGATGAGGTGTTTAACGTTTAAAATGATTGGTTAGTTCTGGTCACCCTTAGGTCCAGTCAGCCCTGTCGTAAATATCTGATCTTCAAGTCAGTTTGGAATTTCCTGCCATCCACAGTTAAAGATGGGAGGGTGATTAACTCATCCCATGTCTGTTCTGAGGAGTGGGAGTTACAGGCTTTGGATCAAAGGTCAGGAGAAGGATTGGGGCCATTTGGCCCAGTTTCCAAACAAAGCCCATCTCACCAGCGCCAGCCGGTGATTTTTTCTCCATTTAGTAGAGATCTCTGCTTGTTCTCTTCCTTATCTCTGCCCTCACAGATGGCTAATGTCAGGAACTTTTACATTCCTCGGCTCTCTGGAGAAGCACTAAGAGGCTTTAATTAACATGGGCCTAAAACTTGCAAATATAAGTTATAAGGCAATTAAAAGAAACATAGGTTACAAAGTTAGTCTGATTCTTTCAGCTTCGCAAGGCTAATTCTCATCAACCTGACCCACAATCATATCTCCTCATGTCATGCTTAATTTCCAGATGAAAACAATAACTGGGTCATGATTATGCCTAACACGATATAACTATCCCATGTACATTAGAAACAGTATATACTTAACCAATCACAAAGGTCATAATTACACCTAACATGATGTAACTATTACACGTACAACTGCAAATGCATTATATATTTAACCAGGTCATAATTATGCCTAACATGATATAACCATTGCATGTACAACTGGGAATACATTATAAATTTAGAATAGGTGGCAATGCCCCTGGAGGGACATTCTTTTAGCATCTCAAATTTGAATATAATTAACTATTGATATTCTCTTAACTGATGTTACATTTCATGATAAAGAAATTGAGGAAAAGAAAACACAAGTGTCTGTACAAATGCATTCTTAGCAAACTGTAACAGGAACACTCGTATCAATTATAATCCTTTTCTGCAACTGGTCAGTGGCCCCCGCTGGCATCTATCTGTCTGTCTGTCTATCTATGATTTTCTTGAGACAGGGTTTCTCTGTGTAGCCTTAGCAGTCCTAGACTCACTTTGTAGACCAGGCTGGCCTCGACCTCACAGAGATCTGTCTGCATCTGTGTGCCACCGCACCCAGCTCCAGCTGGTATTTGTAACCACCTTCTTCTACTACCCATTCGGTATTTTCTCCACCGTCAGCGAGCACCTCAGCAGGTCAAGGCTCTTTTCCTGGAGGAGTGAGCCACACCTTCATTCCTGGAGTGCCTGTGCCCTTTGTTACTCTGCCTGGATAAGGTTGTTGTAGTTTCCCGTTGACTTTAATAACAGGACTTGGTAGCCCTACAGGATCTTCTGCATTTCAGACATAAACTTTCTTACCTCCATTGTGGGAAAGTAATACAATTCCTCCTTACTAATCTAGTTCAGTCACACTTCCTAACACTGGTACGCCTTTCTTAGCGTGTTGGCTTAAGAGCATTAGAAGCCCAGAGTGGCCTTCGTGGGGGTGGTGTCTGAGCTTTCAGCTCAACAGAATGTTTGTTGTGTCTCCTAGAAGGAGTGCCAGGACATTATTTGGTTTTATTCTGGGCCATGTAGGTTCTCGGCTACCCAAACAGCATTGGGTATGGGTTCCAGCTCCTACTGGGCCTTGAATCAAATCAGACATTGGCTGGTTACTTCTACAAGCTTTGTGCCACCATTGCACTGGAGCATCTTACAGGCAGGGCACCATCGTAGATCAAAGGTTTCGTAGCTGTGTTGGTGTTTACATTTCTCCTTTGGTAGCCTGCAGAGTATCTTTCTTTACCAAAGTACCCCTTTTGGTTATGAATTTATTACCAGCTCTTCTCAGGTTTCCGATGAGAACCTGCTTCTGACTGCAATGGGTTATGGGGGCTAATGCTGTGTACATTTCCTTCTAGGCTGGCAAACAGTCATCGCCCATGGCAGCGATAAGTCTGTCAACATTTTGGATTGCTTTGTGACTCTAAAAACAGAATGTCCTATAATGACCGAAGAGCAAAAGCAAGACTTAAACCCTCTGACCATAAAGATCAAGTGTGCCTCTTGCCTTCCGTCTGAGCCTGTATCCATTGATGACCTGCAGGTAAGGAGGAACCCCTGCTTTCCTGGTTAAGAGCACCCCTTAACCCACCCAGGTGGTTACTGTGAGGCACCGCTAATCTTTCAGGAGCTTGATGTGAGAGCCATCAACTTAATGTTTAGGATTCTGTAAGGAGACATGAAAGAAATGGGGTTCCTGAGAGTAGGAGCCACCAAATCTGAGGTTTTTCACGACTCGCTAAGTGTGCTACTAATGGGTATCACCAGCCTGTTCAGAAATGGGTGGGCTTCCCTGCCACAGCAGCAGCACACAGAGGGGTTTTTACTGTTGTAAACCAGCCAGGCTCAGTGCCACGGTGCATCACGGGAGTTACCTCTTTCTCCTCTGGATCATTGTTTCTGGGACTGTTTTCTTCTTCCTGTGTTTGTTTGCTAAAATATGTTCTTTAATATATATCCCACAATCACATTATTCCACATTCTAAAAACAACTATATTTTCTTTATATTTCATGCTCTCGTACTTGGAAAGTAATTTGCTTAGTGTCTTAGTTTGCTTTCTAGTGCCATGATACAACATTGAACAAAACTGATGTGGGGAGGAAAGGGTTTATTACATCGTAGAGGTCAGCATCAAGGAAAGCCAGGGAAGGCACTCCAATAGGAACCTGGGAGGAAGAAACTGAAGCAGAGACCACAGAGGAACACTTCGTGCTGACTGGCTCTTCCTAGCTTGCTCAGCCTGCTTTCTCTCTCTCTCTCTTCTCTTTGTAGGCCTGGCTGTTCTGGAACTCTCTATGTCTCAGTTTACTAGGGTGGTACCATGCACAGTAGGGTTAGGTTGGGCCCTTCTACATCGGTCATTAATCAAGAAAAATGCCCTACAGTCTTTCCCACAGGCCTATCTGACAGAGGAAATTTCAACTGCTATTCTGCTTTCCTAGATGACTCCATCTTGTGTCAAATTAACCAAACCCAAAAGAAACCAAACCAAACCAAACCAAACCAGCCAGCCAGCCAACCAACCAACCAACCAACCAACCAACCAACCAACCAACCAACCAA